TGTAATGTCTATTTTTGTGTGATGTTAGTCTTGTTATTACCACTAGGGGTGTCAAGGTGCGTCCTCCATTTGAGGTACTCTGTATTTGGGGTAGTATTGACAGGGGTATTTTGTGGTGTTTTTCATGATGTTGGTAAGTTTGTAGTAGGGTTTCAAGGTTAGTGTGTTGTTATTGACATTGTCGTGCCGTTGTGTTGCAATGTGGTTTGGGGTCAGATTTTGAGTGTATTTTGGGTGGTCTTCATTTTCAATGTTAATGAGATTTGTGGTAGTTAATGTGTGCTGTTGAATGATGTACATATTAACTAATATTACGCACATGGTCAGTGATTGTTAACCTAATCTTATGCACACGATCGGACATTGTTTGTGGTGATTGTTCATATGGTGGTGTGTGCCCAGTATTCGGTGCAATATTGTTGATAGATAATGAGTTTGTTGTGTTAGTATAATGTAATGTGCTTATGCTCCCCTAGCTTTTGGATGTGTGTAGGTTGGGGTAGGTACGTGTGATGTTAATGACAGTAATGTTAGGTGATGTGTAATGGTTGTGACATCCATGTTTGCAAGTGATTGACATAACGGTACGCCAAGTGTCTTGGTGTAATTTCTTGAACGATAGTACCTGTGTTTCACTACAGGGGAAGTGCATGCGTGTTTATGAACTGTGGGTTGCGTACCTAGTGGTGTTATTGTCTAATTTCGTAATTGATGTGTCATGTTTATTTTTGGGTAAAGTGTTGCTTTGTTGTGATTTGATCATGAATGGTTAATGATTAAACCCCCCGAACACCACGTCCATCTGGGGATGTTGGCTTGACATACCATACATGTGTTACAATTTGTGTTATTTACGTACTTATTTGTGGTTATATGTGGCACATTGTTGAGTAAATGTTACGAATTCTACCTCTTTACGATGTTGGTACTAGTTGTCATGTATCTATGGATTTGTATGTGGGTGGGACGTGTACTGGTTTTGTATGCAAAATTGGAACACATACATAGCGTGTTATGGTATTAAGGGTGTTTGTGTGCTGTTATAATGTTATTTCTTGTTTTTTTGTGTTGGTTGATAAGTGTCTTTGTGAACGTGTGTTTTGTATTCCCCGTATTAATATCTTAATGTGACTAATGTGGTAGGTAATGAATGACGACAAAGCTCGAAATGTAGGTCTAGTGGAAGAACACCACGCTCGCAATTGTCCGTACAAACGTCCATTAGATTGGCCATGAGGAAAAATGAATTTTTTTTATACGTTTCCACACCTCCAAGGACAATAAAACAACATCACAAAAAATTAATCTAACCATTAACACCATAAAAAACAGAGTTCACATTGACACCACATCCGTTAGAATAGTAGAGAGAGAGAGAGAGAGAAGAAATAATATGTATTGTATTCAATGAATTAATCCTATACAATAGAAAACCTGTATATATAGACTGAGAAAGAGTATCCTACTAGAAACCTAACTATGAGAAAAAGTATCCTACAACAAACCTAACTATGGCTATTCCTAAATATATCTAGGAAATCAATACCTAATATATCTAGAAATACCACATATACATTAACTATATCATATTCCTACCCAAAAAAAAAAAAAAGAAAAAAAAGTCATATCATACATGTATTTTTTTTACTCGCAATACATTTTTTCTCCACTCTATTTTTCCCTCTGCTTCAACCTCAAATTGGTTTCTATCTTCAAACCTATTTGAGTTTGAGAGGGGGTATTATATCCATATCATGGTGAATATGGTTATACACCATGCAAACCAGCCAAGCCATACTCTTTGGCGCACAATCCAAGCCGCCTCTTGGCGTACTAAGTCATCTGTTGCCATCATCGTTCAGTATCACGCCATAAGTTATGTGTGTGCCACACTTATTGGTTAAACATCCAGTTCTCTACGTCAGTCTGGCATGACCCTTTTAAACTGTCCTGACATTGATTCCAGTTAGCTCCTACAACTGTCTGACATGACCTTAAACTGTCCTAGCATTAGTTCCAGCTAGTTTCTACAACGGTTCGACATGACCTTAAACTGTCCTGATATTAATTCCAGTTAGTTCCCATAGCAGTCTGGCACAACCTTAAACTGTCCCGGCATTAGTTCCAGCCAGTTTCTACAATGGTCCAACATGACCTTAAAGTGTCCTGGCATTAGTTTCAGCCAATTCTTACAACGGTCTAACACGACCATAAACTATCTCCCGGTGTAACAACCCCTACCCATGATTAACGATAATTCATGCTTAATTATGCCTAATAAGAAACTAAAGTGAAGTTTTGCATCATATGTTGCCTTATATGTGTTTATCATCTTTTCCTGATCGTTTTGACACGAAATGTGAATGAGAAGAGAGAGAGTGAAGAGAGGTTTAAACTCAAGGGAGGAGAGCTAGCAATTGGAAAGACTTTTGGAAATTTAGCCTCCCAGCTCAAAGAATTAAGCATCTCAGATTTAATTGAACACCTAAGGTAAGAAATCAAACCTCTAGTTTTGTAGTTGAGTTGGTTCATACATGAATTCAAGAGAATTGAGCTAAGAAATGCAAGAATTAAGCTTAAAAATTGAAAAGGAAGGTCAATTTGTGCATGCATGTGCATTTCATTGCATTTGGAACATGTTTACTAAGAAATTCTCTCATGCATGTAATAAATTGAGCTTGGTTGTAGGAATTCATCATGTTTTACATCCTCTTATCTCATTTGATTATGTTTTAGAAGTTTTGAACCTAAGTCAATACATGCATTGTGTGTATACTTATAACTCAAGTTTGAATTTGAAGAATCCACTTGCTTTTGGGCGTCGATTTTGAGTAATGATTCGTAATTCTTGATGTTTTGCAATTTACAAGAGTTTTCTTAAGTTTTTGGCTTAAGAAAACAAAATTTACAGCTTTGGGTTTGAGTTTGAAGCTTGGAAGCAATTCTGAAAATTTCAGAATCCTGCTTCCACGCTCGAGCAACAAATCCTGCGCTCAAGCGACCACCTTTGTTTTTGCACTTCCGCTTGAGCGACCAAAAGTCCGCTCGAGCGTGAAATGCATGCTCCTAGAAGTTTGGGTGTTTTACAGACCGCTCGAGCGACAAAAGTTGTGTTCGAGCAAGGGCATGAGTCCCATGCTCAAGCGAGTGTTGAGCGAGCATCGAGAAGAAAAATCAAGCAACCAGCACTTTTGCAAAGTTTACAGACCGCTTGAGCGAAAGAATGTACGCTCGAGCGACCACTCGCATTTTGCATGTCCTCTCGAGCGAAGAAAGTTGCGCTCAAACGAGACCCTTGTTTCTAACATTTCTAACTAAGTGTTTTCAAATACATTTTTGCATCCCCATTACATCCTAGGCATTCCTAGACCAAAATTAAGACACAATAATGAGAATAGATGCTAGAAACACACTAAGAACAAAATGAAACAAGTTATGTATAATCCAAACGTGTGTTTCAGTAGATGTATCTGTTATGTATTGATGTAGGTCATGCGCCGTAAACCGTTTGATTTGACTGCTCTGTTTGTCAACACCTAGAGCTATCTGTGAGTAATAACTTAGTAAAGTTATGATCAACTTTATTTACTTTCTGTATAATAAAATAAGATCTGTTTTCTGAAATGTTATGTTCTGTACAATGAATGATTGTCCAATTTTTGACAATGTATACGTGGAATCCTTAGCATTATGTGATATCTGTTAGCTGTTACCCGGTATCGGAGGTTCTATTATAGAATTCCATTATAGAACTTATTATGTCTGCACTCTGTTACCTGTACCGGAGGCTCTATTATTGAGCTCAGCATATCTGTTATCTGTTACCCGGATCTAGAGGTCCCTTTATAGAACTGGTTACTTATAACCACCATCTGTTTTGCATCTGTTCTGTATCTGCTCTGTTAGCGCTAATGGATTTACCACATATGATTAAGCATGAATTCTGATTTCTGTTTATGATTTGAACAAGAATATGAATATAAATATGAATATGAATCCGTTTTTGAATCTGAATTCTAATTTCTGAATCTGGTATGGACCTTATTCATTCAAACTCTTTACTCTATTATTATTCACCAGGTTCCCGCTCACTATTTATATTATGTATGTAGGTGATCAAGCACGTGACCGAGCTCCGAGTTGAGGACCTAGCGTCTCAATTTTTGTCAGCCAGCCTTTGTGCCTCCCGATGAGGTTCCATATTAAGTCAAGTTTAGTGGTTAAGTTTTTGTGAATGTATAAGACTTTGTTTCTTTTGATTTACGAATAAGTTTTCTGTTTATATGTATATGGAGTGACGTGCAAATACTATATCTTTTGACGCCACTTGTATGTTTATAAAAGAGTAAGATTATCTGTCCCATGTATGTCTTCACAGCTCGATGGACAATGTATATTTTATATATTTGCTTCTGCAGCCCCTAACTATATGTTATTGTGTTAAGAGGCCTTTGGTAATCTAAGGATTACTGGCCGATTATGACGCTAAACCTATAGGGGTGGGTTTGGGTCGTGACAGAGTGGTATCAGAGCACGAGTTATACCTCACACACAACTCCATGTGAGCTACAAGATGTCCTAGAAAGAATTAGGGACATTTCATCTACATGTGCGTATATATACTAATATTTATACGTGTGAAAACTGAATTTGAATTTGAATCTGAATATATATATATAAAATTGAAAGAAATGAACAAGATTATTCGAATATTTATTGTTACCTTGTCTCTTTATAGCAAAATGGAGGATGCAAGGGGAAATGATATAAGTGAATCTTCTAAGGCCCGAATGAACAGAATGGAATAGATGCTTGCGGCTTTGACTGAAGCCATGACGCAGCAATTGAGACAATAACCTTTACCTCCTCCGCCTCCTCCAATTCTAATTGAATCGGACAATGGTGACGTCATCAATTTGACTCATAAATTTATGAAAATGAAACCGCCGACCTTCTTAGGTGGCATTGAACCATTGAAGGCAGAAACCTGCTAACTAGAAATGGAAAAGTTATTTGAAGTATTCCCTTGCTCCACAACTCAGAAAGTACTCTTGGCTACCTATACTCTAAAGGATAAAGCCTGGAGATGGTGGCTATTGGTCCGAAACAATAATGTTAACATGACATGGGCTCAATTTAACGAGATGTTCTACAACAAATACTTTCCCCAATGCTTTAGAGACCGAAAAGTGTCAGAATTCCAAGAACTCAAACAAGGCAGGATATCAGTGGCTGAATATGAGGCCAAGTTTACTGAATTAGCTCGTTTTGCTTCTCACATGGTGGATACGGACTATAAGAAAGCCCACAAATTTGAAGGAGGATTGGATTTAGACATATTCGATCGAGTAGGCGTATTGAAGTTGCCAACATACATAGAAGTCCTTAACAGATCCTTAATGGCTGAAGCTATCCTAGCCGCTATGAAACAAAGTAAGGCCCTAACAACAACAACAAAATGGAGAGGAAAAAGGTCTGGGTACAGTTTTAGAAAGGGGTGTTCTTATGTGAGTAAGAAGTAGAACATGAGGTATATAAGTAGCTTAAGTCAGAGCAGTGGGTCTATTCTAGTTTGCCCTGATTGTGGAAGGAGGCATAGGGGCGTGTGTTACCGAGCATTGGACGCTTGTTTCCGATGTGGCAAGACAGGTCATGTAGTGAAAGATTGCCCGCTTGGGTCTAATAATGCCAACCACCCTACAGCAAGTTCAGCTGGATCTACTTCTACAGCTAAAACAAATGCAAGAGCTAATACTGGGAAGGAAACTCTAAGACAAGGTCGAGTATTTGCCTTAGTGCCTGGTGATGTGTATAACACTGAAGTTGTGGTGTCAGGTATAATTTTCATCTGTGCCCAAAATGCATATGTGCTGATAGATTCTGGTTCTACCCATTCATTTGTGTCACATGCATTTTCTCAGAAACTAACTAGACCATTAGAACCTATGAACTGTTTACTATCTGTATCTACATCGTTTGGGGGTTCTATGATATGTGCTTATGTTTATTCGACATGTGATATTATGCTTGGTGATATGACACTGTATGTTGACTTGTTGCCCTTGAGCATTGATCATTTTTATTATATTCTGGGTATGGATTGGTTGACTAAATATTGTGTCACCATTGACTGTGCAAGTAAATTTGTTGTGTTTAGACCACCTCGTATGCCTGAATTTATTTTTACTGGAAATGGGGTAATTCCTCTACCATACTTGATTTCATTTATGAAAGCCAGGAAATTGTTGAGAAAAGGTTGTCGAGGCTACTTGTGTTGTGTGTTGACTGTGTCTTCGGATAGTACCAGTGTGGAAGCTATTCCTTCGGTTTGTGACTTTCCTGATGTGCTTCCTAATGACCTACCCGGGGACTTAATTGATAGGGAAATTGAGTTTACAATTGATGTAGTACCTGGAACAGAACCTATTTCTAAGACTCCCTATAGAATGTCCACTTCTAAACTGAAAGAGTTAAAAGTTCAACTCCAAGAAATCTTAGACAAGAAATTTATTCGCCCAAGCACATCACCTTGGGTGCTCTAGTCTTATTTGTAAATAAAAAGTACGGGTAGTCTTATTTGTAAATAAAAAGTACGGGTCTTTGAGGTTATGTATAGACTATCGTGAATTGAATAAAGTAACCGTAAAGAACAAATACCCACTAACCCGGATAGATGATCTGTTCGACCAACTCCAGGGAGCCCAAGTATTTTTGAAAATTGACCGTAGATCTAGGTACCACCAATTGAAAGTTAAGGCAGAAGATGCAGAGAAGACTGCATTTAGAACTAGATATGGGCATTATGAATTTTCGATAATGCCATTTGGGGTAACTAATGCACTTGCAGCGTTCATGGATTTAATGAATAGGGTGTTCAAACAATTTCTAGATGAATTTATTGTTATCTTTATTGATGATATCCTGATTTACTCCAGAAGCAGGGAAGAACACGAGAACCATTTGCGAATTGCCTTGCAGATTCTGAGAAAAGGAAATTGTATACAAAATTATCCAAATGTGAATTCTAGCTTGATAGTGTGGCATTTTTGGGACATATAATTAATAAGGACGGCATCTCCGTTGACTCTCAGAAAATTGAAGCTATTGTGGACTGGCCTAAACTGACAAATGTGTCAGAAGTTAGAAGTTTTCTGGGACTTGCAGGTTACTACGGAAGATTTGTGAAAGTCTTTTCAAAACTTGTTATGCCATTGACTCAGTTAACTCAGAAAAATGTCTCATTTGATTAGAACGACCAAAAAGAGTTTGCCTTCCAAGAGTTGAAGACCAGATTGGTTACTGCACCGATTTTAACTCTGCCTAATGGTACTGATAGGTTTCAAATTTACAGTGATGCATCCTACAAAGGTTTGGGTTGTGTATTAATGCAAAATGGAAAGGTGACTGCTTATGCTTCTTGGCAACTCCGACCACATGAAAAGAACTATCCGACACATGACCTTGAACTAGCAGTTGTAGTGTTTGCCTTGAAAATTTGGCGACACTATTTGTATGGTGTAACTTGTGAGGTATATACTGATCACAAAAGTTTAAAATACTTCTTTACCCAAAAAGAATTGAACATGAGACAGAGAAGGTAGTCAAAATTGATCAAAGACTATGATTTACAAATTCTATATCATCCAAGGAAGGCAAATACCGTTGCAGATGTATTGAGCAGAAAATCTATTGCCAATTTGTCATGTTTGCTCACTGGCCAGAGAGAGTTGTTATGTGACTTGGAGAAGGATGAGATTGAAGTTGTGTTACATGAACAGGGCGGAATCTTAGTCGTCATTTCTATTCAGCCTACAATCATTGAAGAGATTAAAAAGAAACAATGCAAAGATGAGTTTCTGAGGAAAATTGTTGATGAGATTGATTCAAAACTGAAACCGGGATTTGTGCTTGATAATGATGTGTTGAAATTTCAGAATCGCCTTTGTGTGCCGGACTGTTTTGACTTGAGGAATGCATCATGACTGAAGCTCACAACTCAAAATTTGCTATGCATCCGGAAAATACGAAGATGTATCACGAGTTGAAACATAATTTTTGGTGGCTGGGAATGAAAAAGTGTATTGCAAATTTTGTGGCTAGATGTTTGCACTGCCAACAAGTTAAAGCCAAACATCAACGACCCGCTGGTTTGATACAGCCGCTGGTTTGTTACAGCCGTTTCCAATACTAGAATGGAAATAGGAGCACATTACCATGGACTTCATTGTAGGATTGCCTCGCTCCTGTCGAGGTATGAATTCTATCTGGGTCATTATTGATCGTTTAACTAAGTTTGCCCATTTTCTGCCTGTCAAATCTTTGTATAATCCCAATAAGTTGGCTAATTTGTATGTCAATGAGGTTATGAAATTACATGGAGTTCCGGTGTCCATAGTATCTGACAGAGACCCCAACTTTACTTCGAGATTCTGGCAGAGTTTACAACAAGCTTTGGGGATTGAATTAAGATTACGTAGTGCTTATCACCCACAGACAGATGGCTAATCTGAATGGACCATTCAAACCTCGGAGGACATGTTACGCACGTGTGTGTTAGACTTTCAAGGCAATTGAGAGATTTACTTTCCTCTAGCCGAATTTGTGTATAACAACAGCTATCATTCAAGTATTGAAATGGTTCCTTATGAAGCCCTGTACAGTAGGAAATGTCGTTCTCCGATTTGTTGGGCCGAAGTAGGTGACAGACCTTTATTGGGACTAGAACTGGTATAAGAAATAACTGAAAATGTGAAATTGATTCAACAGAGGTTGAAAACTGCACAAAGCCGCCAAAAAAGTTATGCAGACGCCAGAAGGCAAGATAGAGAATACGAAGTCGGGGATAATGTGTTCATAAAAGTGACTCCAATGAAAGGGCAAACGCAATTTGGGGTGAGAGGCAAGTTGGCACCAAGATATGTTGGGCCATATGAAATTATCGAGAAGATCAATTCAGTAACATACTGAGTAGCCTTACCTCCAGTGATGAAGCATATGCACAACGTATTCCATGTTTCAATGCTTCGAGATTACTTGCGAGACCCACTCCATGTGATAGAACCAACTCATGTATTTCTGAAAGATGATTATATGTACAAAGAGAGACCAATACAAATTGTTAACCGGAGAATTAAGAGATTAAGAAATAAGAAAATTCCACTGGTGAAAGTCGATTTGTAGAATCATGGCGGAACTTATGCAACATGGGAGACAGAGGAAGATATGATGAGAAGATACCCTGAGTTGTTTCTTTTAAATCTGGTGTTCTTCTAGAATGAAGGCAACTCGAGTTTGGAGGACCAAACTCTTTAAGGGGGGAAGACTGTAACAACCCCGACCTATGATTAACGTTAATCCATGCTTAATTATGCCTAATAACAAATTAAAGTGAAGTTTTGCATCATATGTTGCCTTATATGTGTTTAAATCTATTTAGCATAGAAATATCAATTTTTTTTTTCCGTTTCGATTTACGAATTGAAGGCCTTATCGGCATCCGATTTAGAAATTGACTTGGTATACGCATTATTTAGAATTTTTAGAATTTTATGGTAGGTTCAATTGAAATTCGATTCGGAACGAATAAAGTAGAATAAAATAATCCCACTTAGTTATCTTTGACTCAAAATAACTAAGCTTCATTAGTTGAGCCTATATAAGGCCTCCACACCACCTAGACTCATCTTTTCTTGATCGTTTTGACACAAAATGTGAAGGAGAAGAGAGGGAGTGAAAAGAGGTTTAAACTTAAGGGAGGAGAGCTAGAAATTAGAAGGACTTTTGGAAATTTGGCCTGTGAGCTCAAAGAATTACGCATCTTAGACTTAATTGAACACCTAAGGTAAGAAATCAAACCTCTAGTTTTGTAGTTGAGTTGGTTCATACATGAATTCAAGAGAATTGAGCTAAGAAATGCAAGAATTAAGCTTAAAAAGTGGAAATGAAGGTCAATTTGTACATGCATGTGCATTTCATTGCATTTAGAGCATGTTTACTAAGAAATTCTCTCATGCATGTAATAAATTGAGCTTAGTTGTAGGAATTCATCATGTTTTACATCTTCTTATCTCATTTGATTATGTTTTAGAAGTTTTGAACCCAAGTCAATACATGCATTGTGTGCATACTTATAACTCAAGTTTGAATTTGAAGAATCCACTTACTTTTGGACCTTGATTTTGAGTAATGATTCGTAATTCATGATGTTTTGCAATTTACAAGAGTTTTCTTAAGTTTTTGGCCTAAGAAAACAAAATTTACAGCTTTGGGGTTGAGTTTGAAACCTAGAAGCAATTCTGGAAATTCCAGAATCCTGCTTCCACGCTCGAGCAACAAATCCTGCGCTCGAGTGACCACCTTTGTTTTTGCACTTCCGCTCCAGCGACCAAAGGTCCACTCGAGCGTGTAATGTATGCTTCCAGAAGTTTGGGTGTTTTACAGACTGCTCGAGTGATAAAAGTTGCGCTCGAGCGAGGGCATGAGTCCCACACTCAAGCGAGCATCGAGAAGAAAAATCAAGCAACTAGCACTTTTGCAAAGTTTACAGACCGCTCAAGCGAAAGAATGTACGCTCGAGCGACCACTCGCATTTTGCATGTCCGCTCGAGCGAGACCCTTGTTTATAATATTTCTAACTAAGTGTTTTCAAATGTATTTTTGCATCATCATTACATCCTAGACATTCCTAGACCAAAATTAAGACACAATAATGAGAATAGATGCTAGAAACACACTAATAACAAAATGAAACAAGTTATATACAATCCAAGCGTGTGTTTCAGTAGATGTATCTGTTATGTATTGATGTAGGTCATGCGCCGTAAACCGTTTGATTTGCCTACTCTGTCTGTCAGCACCCAGAGCTATCTGTGAGTAATAACTTAGTAAAGCTATGATCAACTTTATTTACTTTCTGTATGATAACATAAGATCTATTTTCTAAAATGCTATGTTTTGTACAATTAATGATTGTCCAATTTCTAACAATGTATTCATGATATCCTTAGCATCATGTGATATCTGTTAGCTGTTACCTGGTATCGAAGGTTCCATTATGGAACTTGTTATGCCTGCACTCTGTTACCCGTACCGAAGGCTCCATCATGGAGCTCAACATATCTTTCGTTTGTTACTCGGATCCAGAAGTTCCTTTATGGAACTGGTTACTCATAACCACCATCTATTTTGCATTTGTTCTGTATCTGCTGTGTTAGCGCTAATGGATGTACCACATATGATTAAGCATGAATTCTGATTTCTGTTTATGATTTGAACAAGAATATGAATATGAATATGAATCTGTTTCTGAATTAGAATTCTGATTTTTTAATTTGGTATGGACCTCATTCATTCAAACTCTTTACTCAGTTATTATTCACAGGGCTCCCGCTCACTATTTATATTATGTATGTAGGTGATCAAGCACGTGACCGGGCTCAGAGTTGAGAACCTAGCGTCTCTGTTTTTGTCAGCTAGCCTTTGTGCCTCCCGAGAAGTTTCCAGATTAAGTTATGTTTAGTGGCTATGTTTTTGTGAATGTATAAGACTTTGTTTCTTTTGATTTACGGATAAGTTTTCTGCTTATATGCATATGGAGTGACGTGCAAATACTGTATCTTTTGATGTCACTCGTATGTTTATAAAAGAGTAAGATTATCTGTTCCATGTATGTCTTCATAGCTTGATGGACTATGTATCTTTTATATATTTGCTTTCGTAGCCCCTAACTATATATTAAGGGCTCCCACTCACTATTTATATTATGTATGTAGGTGATCAAGCACGTGACCGGGCTCAGAGTTGAGGACCTGGCGTCTCTGTTTTTGTTAGCTAGCCTTTGTGCCTCCCGAGAAGTTTCCTCCCGAGAAGTTTCCAGATTAAGTTAAGTTTAGTGGCTATGTTTTTGTGAATGTATAAGACTTTGTTTCTTTTGATTTACGGATAAGTTTTCTGCTTATATGCATATGGAGTGACGTGCAAATATTGTATCTTTTGATGTCACTCGTATGTTTATAAAAGAGTAAGATTATCTGTTCCATGTATGTCTTCACAGCTCGATGGACTATGTATCTTTTATATATTTGCTTTTGCAGCCCCTAACTATATGTTATTGTGTTAAGAGGCCTTTGGTAATCCAAGGATTACTGGCCGGTTACGACCCTAAACCTATTGGGGCGGGTTTGGAACGTGACACTCGGCATTAGCTCCGGCCTCTGATATATCTCAAGCATCCTTGCGCTCCTTTTTGGACTTTGCAATTTATTTGCCTTTTATTTTATTTAGTTTTATTTAATTTTTTAATTTCTCTCTCCAAACTCAAGATGTTTATCCTCCATGAGTTTGAAGGGGGATGTTAATGTGGTATTCCTAGATATATTAGGTATTGATTTCCTAGATATATTTAGCAATAGCCATAGTTAGGTTTTTTGTAGCATACTCATTCTGTCACGACCCATCCTAGTGACTAGGGCTGGATTTGCAACTAGCTAATTCTAAAATTTAATAATTCCAAGTAATTTAATTAAATAATGCAGCGAATTAAAATAAAGTTTTTAGATAAATATCTGAAGCGTACATAGAAATTATTATTTATGTAATGATTTAACATCAGTCAGATAATGATTACAAGAAAAAAAACATGATATCCATATCAAATTTGAGGTTCTGATCCACAGGGTAAAACCATCATTCTTTAAATTTCTTCACCTGAAAGGGGTTTTAACAGCTAAAAGCACATGGCAGAGTGAGAAATATTATACTGAGAGCATGAGGGTATAAAATCACTATGGATAATTATTTAGGCTAAACGATGAATAGTTTGGTTCGAATAAATTGTTTTTAATAATAGACATATAACACAAAATCATATGAACGAAATAATTTTAACTACGGTACAAAACAGAACATAGGGTCAATGGATCCATGATAGACAGAGGGTCACGAAGTGACTAATCAGAGGGCCAAAGATTTTTTAAGTTCCTCA